CAAAGTGCCACTACAATACAATCATCCAGCGAGTTCCCAACATTATTAGCACTAGGAAAAGAACAACAAGCTACAGCAATGGAATTAACACATCATATTTATACTTTATCTTCCATTATTTCACAACAAATGACTAGTATTGATAGGTAATTATTACAATTGTATTTATAAATATTTATGTTAAAACAGATTTTCTTTTAAAAAATGCTCATAAAAAATTATTGTGGATTTATGTTCAACTTTTTTTTTAATTTCTCCTAACAATAACTTATGGTGAATGTTGTATTACAACTTCAAATTTTTTGACCGAGAAATTTGCTTATGCCTATAAATAGCTCAAAAAGATTATATGATGTATGAAACTGCCAATATAAATTTTCAGGGAAAATTGTATGAATCTACTGTTGTTGTTTTTAGACTCGCACTAAAGAATGAAATTAATTTTTTCAAAAACTGGTTTTGTCTAGACATCTTAGTTTTTCCTTAATTTTTTGTTTGTTTTACTTAACGCTTTACTTAACTAACTATTGAGAATTTTTTTATTTTGACCCTCTAAAATACTAACAAGGTTCACTTTCCTACCATAAAAGATGCTGTTGAAGAAAATCAAAGCATTTTTACTTTCCCAAAACATGATGACAGACACAAAAAAAACACATTTTAAAATCAACTTCATTGCTCCTCTTAGAATCTAAAATGAAAAAATCAGTACAACATATCCATATAGGTAGTATGTTGAATTTCTTCTAAATTTTAGATTTTTTCAATACCTGGTTTACTATTATTATTTTTACGGGATGTAAAAGTGAAAATTGTAGATTGTAGTACATCAATAATAACTGGTTGAAAAAAATGTTTTATAGTCTTCAAGCTGAGTTAGCTGCTTACAAGTCTCAGAATCTTCTGGAAGGCCCAGCATTAAACAGTTCAAACATGAGTTCTAGTGCCTACTTAAAATATAAAAGGCCAGTTTATAGTCATAATCATCAATTGGAGGAACTACGCAATCTACAAGATAAGTTAACACACGAGAAAGAGTCGTGGATAAGAGAACGAGATTCTGAGATGAAGGATTTGGAAGAAAAAAGAGAAGAGTTCCTCAGATTACAGGTTAGTTTTAAAATGTAATATTTTAGTTATTATAATGTGTGTACACTCTTTAATCAATAATGATCTATAATATTACTTTTTAGCAATGAACTAATTTCTATTTAAATCTAAAAAGCAATAATTGTATATTAGGTAGTTAATTTCCTGAAATTTGAATAATGCTCATAATTAATTATAATTTCAATTGTTTTTAGGAACAAGTACGATTAGAACAAAATGATGTAACTCAGCAACGAGAGCAGCTTTACCTTAAATTACAAATGTTAACCAATCAAGGTATTATTGTATCACCTAATATGCAGCCACCACCTGTGTCACCAAATCAACAGTCACAAAATCAATCTCCCTCTGATGGAGTAGCTCAACCGTTGTCTCATTCAGAATCTGTGCGTAGTAAAAGAACTGAATCTATGAAATGGAAACAGCATACTCCACCTTCAGCCACTTCTTCATCCACATTACCTATTAACCTGATTAGTGCCACTAACCAACAAAAGGTAAAAATATATTTATGATGAAAAATTAGGTAAAATTCTTATGTAATCTATTTTTTATAACTGTGTTTAGGTAGCCTCCAAAGTTCATATAAAACAAAAATTACCATTTAAATTAGCTAGCAAATTGGGTAACAATAATTCGAGTTCTACATCTGACACTACACCCAATACCATAACTTCGCCTTCTTCCCAATCAGCATATGCTTTTCAACAACTTTTACCATTAAAGTTGAGCGAGAGTGCCAAAAATCCAATGAACCCTGTTCAGGGCAGTTCTGTTGAAATACTTTCACCATCAAGTCAACAAGGTCCTAGTCATTCACGTACAGGATCTAGTCCAGCAATGATGCAAAGTGCTCAGGTATTAAGAATATTATACTTGCAGAAGAATATGATGTATATTATAAATTATTATTTAAAGTTGTACCATGTATAATGTCCATCCATTATTGCCATTTAAATTTGACATTTAATTTCATATGAATATCATAAAATCCTTTATGTTGACAAAAATGTTAAATTATGTTGGAGAATGTCATATTTGTGTGTTAGGTTTGTCGTATTATATACGTATACATACCAAATTTACATTTAGCAGAACCAATTTTGTGTTGTTTGGTTTTACTATAAGGATGAATTGACCTATTATAAAACTTAAAGGTAAGACAGTTAATTATTCACATTGGTTTATACAAATATTTTTATTTTTAAGCGAGTTATGCATTTATGTGTGTGTAAAATATTGCAATTTTAAAATGCTCATAACTCGCTTGAATATTAAAATTTATAATATCAAAGCTAACAACACAAAATTGGTACTGATGAACATAAATTTGTTTTGCTGTACATTTATAAGCAGAGGAAAACACATGCGGGTATGGCATTCTCTTAATATACAAAAAAATAATTTGTAGTTGTGTAATGAATCGTAATGAATATTAAAAATATGAAATTAAACACTGAGTAGATAGACTGTTAAAAACTCACTCGTTTTTTTAATTTAAAATTTGAATACTTGAATTTCTTAATGCAATGTCACAATATTAGTATGGTTTTATAATTGATACTTATCTTAGTAACATTGTGTCTATTACATTTATTTTTCATTTTAAATATTTAGATAGTGGAAGGAAAACAATCGGGCAACAAAGCTGGCAGAACAAATACTTATCCGAAATTACCTGAAAAATTTCGCATTCGTAGTCCAGAGTCAAAACAGTCTAAAACACAGACTACACAAAACAGTGGCAGCATCAATAACACCAATGCTTCCTCTACCACCGAAGAAGAAGTGATATTCTTCTGATTGTCATATTATTCTACATCTTTAACATTTTCATTACTAGTGGATCTCTTTGTTTATATTGAATAGGACAAACTACTATGGACATTCTTAGACAATAATTGTGTTAATACTATATATCATTCTCCAAATATTATATATTTTCCATTCCACTATTTAACTTATAAGTTTTTTAGGATCATAAAATGTCTTTCGCAATTTTCCCTGTAATCTATTTCATAATGGTATTAAATATTAGTAGAATTGAAAGTCCCAATGAATTTTTTTTTATATTATATATTTTTGTCATTGGTGTTCCGTTGTTAAAACATGTCTTTCCTATTGCATTTGTTTTTTTTTTCAAAATGTTTATTCATTTTTTCATTGTGATTTTTTTTCTAAAATTATTTATTTTATTTCTTGTAGCTATCTATTTGAAATCCTTAAATTTAAGGCTAGTGGTAATGTTCGAGCTTTAACATGTGTTATTTTTTTATACATTTTGTTTTATATTTCTACTTCTATTTATATACTATTATTATTACTATAATTTTTTTGGGGGGAAAGTCCTTTGAGGTGGCCTAAGCAATAATTGATGATTAAGACTTTCAAACTTCGCCTATATGTTGCCTAACATAACTAGGGCTGTGATGCACCTTTATTTTGTGGTTAAATTTATATAGTATTTTTTTATTAAAAATATTTCATTAGCAATAATCGATGATAACAGTTACTTGAGTGATGACAAACCAATACAATGTAATAGACAAATACTATCTTAACTTGTAGATTTTTTTTTAATTTTGCTAAGATTCGCATGTTTTATCATCACTTAAGAAACTGTACTAACAATGTGTCTTATATGCAATACTTATTTTTCAATGTGATTAATTATAAAATATTGTTTTGATAACTTTTATATAATAATTATTTTAATATTATATTACATATTATTATGGTTCGAAAAGATATGTAGGTACTTAAATTTATATGACTTATATTTTGTAAATATCACCAAAGCTTCAAGCTTATTTGAACCATTCTTAATAAAAGAATATTTTTTATTTTTATCCTTTGTTTAACCATAATTTTGTTGATGACACCAGTGCACGGTTATTATTATTATTTTTTTAACCGGTTTCATTTACTTTTTACTGTGTTTAAATCGTGTTAAGCCTAGTTTCACAGTATTATATAACTTGTATGACCAAAACTATGTTTTTTTTTTGTTACTCCTAGATTTTTGAATCTTTTATTTGTTATTATTATTACAATTATTTTTTTTATTTTTGTAATAATACCTATATCAATCTTCTTGGTTTATTAATAGTTATTTTTAATACGTTTTTACAAGCTCATTGTATTTTGTATGATGATACACCTACCTTATGTATTTATAATAATATAATTATTATCATCATTATTTTTATTATTATTATTGTATTGTATTACAGGTTATAATTTATTATATATTTATATAATATATACACTCATATTTATAAATGAATATAAAAGAAAATATATATTGAACTTTTAACTTGTGTTGTTTTTTTAATATTGTGTCATCATAGAGTTTAGTCTTTTATTTTCATAAAAGCCATACATTTATTTTTGGTTCAGATGATTTAACATGATGTATAAAAAAACTTTTGGTGTACCTATATGGCTATATGATATTGATTAATTTCATTAAATAAATTTAAGTTAAGTATTATTTTGGTAACTTGAGACTAGAGCCAAGATTTAAATGCCTCATAAATTATCAAAAAATGCTATAAAAACTACACAAGGATATGATTGTTTTAACTTTTGGCATTTTTAACTCATCTTGATCATAACAAAACTAACAACAATACAAAAACAAAATACCAAACTTAGGACTCACAATAAATAATCCGTAAGTATACTGGAAATCATCGTAATTGCGTTGTACCTACAAATGACCAGATGTTAATGTGTTTGATTCTAGTTAGTCAACCATATCTGATAATCACTGTATACAAATCTAGACATCACCGTATAGTAGCCAGTTGCTTGTAGATAACTGATCCAAGGGCTCCGAGTGTAATATTATTATAAGTAGGTAAAGTATAGGCATAATCTAAAACGTCTACACAATTGTATTTATCTTTATTTAAAATGCCTAATTCATAGCCGGCAGTTTGTATACTTAAAATAATATAACATACTCGGTACACACGCATATAGGCAGGTTATTGGCATGGCGCCATGGCTGCAGTTATTTAGCCATGGTTATTGGTACTTCGATATGATACTATTTACTATTTAGTTTTCGTTTTGTACATCAATCAACTAGTGTGGTAACCTATAGGTAGGTACCAGGTTCTTGGTAATGGTCGAAATCACTGGTTAAGACCGACGAGTAGTTTGAGATAAGTTGAAATGGGGTCGGGGAAGGTTTGAAAACAGTTTAAAATGAGTTTGGGTTGGACGGAACGGCTCCGCGGTCAGACAGGCGGGCCTCAGGTCTGGCAGGTAGCTGCGGGTTGCAAGCAAGCGATGGTCAGTCGTCCTGTGACACGCCATGGATCCGCCCGATGTCATTCACTTGCCAATCGCTCTTGTCCCTGGACTGTAAGTTCTCGAGGATTTTTCTCAAGGCCAGGTACCACGCCACGCCGGACACCGTGCAGAATACCACTTCGACAAAGTAACCGTCCAGGACGGTGACGCATTCGTCTCCAGCCAACTTCACGCAATCCTGCGAACATAAATTTCGTCCTGTAGGTAATGCAACAACTATAGGTATCAAGTGACTTCAATACAGTAGGTTATGGAGTTGACGGTATTGAAATCATAAACCGGCAATGCGGTATTAGATTCGATAGGTACCTACCGGTATGAAACGGTATAGGTACCTACCGGTATGAAACGGTATAGGTACCATGATACCGGTATATACCGCAATAGCGTCACATACCGGAAAACCATACTGAATAAACTGATACCCGAAAATCGTTATAATAGAAAACTGAAAAACGCTGAAATAATATGGTGAGGGAGTAAACAATTTTTATATTAACGTATAATACCTATATGTTATACTATACCGAAAAAACTGTCAACCCTACCTTAGGTATTAGGTGCCCGATACCTATAATACAACCTTGATTAAATAAATAAATAAATAAATCTTGTATCTACACGCTACAGGTGAACAGTGATCGAAGGGACTCTAAATAAGTGGAGGGATGTCTTTCATAATTTATATAGTTTCCATCATTATAACTCTAAACAGCCGTACAAATTAAGTGAAGGGATGGAAAATGTGGGTTATAAAAAGTGGAGGGAGGCCATTTCACTGTATCCCCCTGCACTTCGACCACTGCCCGTCAATGTATCTACGCGAATTCTTCCCAAATTCTAACTTCATCATCGTTTTCAGCATGCTTAACTGAATACACTATGACAACAGAAAAATCGAAAAACAGGATGTCCGGTAAAGCAGATAAGTTCCGAATAGGCACTATAGTATTTGACTGACTTCAAAAATTAATAGTGGCAAGTGATTAGGGTAGTCTACAGACTACAGTAGGTATCAAGGACGGGCATCCCACCACACTTTTTGGAAAAAAAACTGATTTTGACCTCAACCCTCGAAATGTTTGCACCCACTCATCGATTAGACTGTTGAGCAGAGGTTTCCAATTCCAACCCGTTTTGACTCGCGGCACCCTGAGTCATTTTTTAAAAACCCAGAAACAACTTTATAGACTACTTTGGTTTTATTTAGCAGAGGCGCAGAACATAAGTAGAAACAAAAGTAGTAAGACTTAGGTGTATAATATATACAAATATTACATTTTGTAAAACAAATTTTTAAAAAATAGATTCAACATCGCGATGTTTATACAAATTATATGAAACACAATAGGTTTTAACAGACAATAGTGTGTTTTATTATTCACAATACCTACTATGTTTTTTATGAAATTGTTTTTTTCTTAAAAAATATATTTAATAAAATTTCACTTAAATAAAGTTTACGGGATCTTTCCCGAATGTGTTGGTTTGATATCAGGGACGTTTTTTGGTCAGGTACTAGGTGGGTAGTCGAACATTTTGGATTTGAAATATCTTTGGACACGAGCTTCTTAACGATTCTGGCTAACGACCCCTCACCCCATCGTAGAACGACGTGAGTACGTGACCAAAGTTTTATTTTGACCTCGTGGAGGGAAAGAAGTTTTACTTCATCCGCACGACCGCACGTACGCGCTCTTTTTATTTTTATTTACCTACAAACTCGCCGCCGAGCCACAATAGCTATTGCAAACACCACAATAGACGATCGCTATTTTGCCTACCCTTTAAGTTGAGTCTGCATACTGTGACTGAAGTTTATAAATTTATTTATAGTTTAGCACTTAGCTCGTAAATGTTTAATAATCCAATTTCATATTGGTATCGTTATTCTCCGGGTAAAATATGTCTCACGCATTTTCTTATTTAGTTATTCCGTATTAATAAATTATACTAGACATAAGTAGTACCTTCTTACGTCATATTATATTGATTGCCTAATTATAAGGTCGTCGTCTTTGCACTCAGAACTAAAAATATCGACTTCGGATCGTCATTATTTTTTTTAGATTCTGAGCGTATCGAATGAATGTATTGATTTTAGAATTTTACAATAACGTGTTTTTTTTTTCTGTCTGTCATCAATATATTGAAAAGTACAAGTGCTCGGATTCTCGACATCATCTTTGATAGAAAAGTGAATCTAATTGGCACTTTTGTCTGATCAAAATTGAAAATTCTTAGTAGTTTTTGAAAGAATCTTGAAAACAAATAAAAGTGAAAATAAGTAATTTTTACCCAAAACAAATTTTTGAAAATCGATTTTATTTTATGGTATAATTAAAAAACTAATAATTTTGGACACTTGAAGTTTTCACCAAATATTTATTATTATAGTATTTGATATAAGTAGTAACATTTTCGAAATAATATATAATAATTATAATTTATAGCCTCGACAATTTTTTTAACTAATCTCGATAAAAACTTTTTCGCTTAGTTAAAAAGCTTGAAAATTCGATACAATAGGTTCCTCGTAAGTTTATTTAATGGAAGTAAAAAAAATATTTTAGACACGAAATATAGGCAGTTATTTTTTTATATACATTTAGTTCTTATTTTGACAAAATTTATCAAAATCTTAAAAAAATTTCAAATTATTTTTCAGTTAGAAATTTGTAAAAATTTTCTTTTTATATTATCTTATATTAGACATTTAAATGGAAGATTTAAACAAATTATTGTACCTTAAACAAAACATAACGTTTACCAGAAACTTAAAGGTAATATGAGTTTTTTATGAACGTTTGAATTTAAAAATGTTACGATATTGTATTTTGATGCGTAAATTAACAAGTTTCCGCGTATCAATTTTTTGATATTTCATTGTAATTCAAAATCGAATAGCTTTAGACACTAGAATTTTTCACCAAAATGTTAAAACGACTATTTTCCATACATAGCAAAATTTAAAAATAATTTGACTCTTTTTGAGCTATTTATACCCACGAAAAATTTTTGAAAGGTTGTAAATTATTTTCCAGTTTTGAAAATTGTTTTTCAAAATTAACATTAACAATTTTAATAGAAGATTTCAAACTAGTTATTCTACCATTAACAAAAACAAAAAAAGTTCACCAGAAAGTTACTCTATTTATAGCCATAAAATATTTTTAATTTCTATTAATTTTTTGTTTAACTATTACATTTGATTATTTATAGAAATATGCTAAGATGACACACCGTCTCCACTCAGAATGGTTTTTGTATTCGATGGTTTATCATTAAATTGAAATCTAATACATCCAGTACATTGTAATAGATGTATTAGAATATTACAATGACATGCTCGACATCTACTGTACATCAGAGCGTTCCCACTCCTTTTTTAATAATAATAATTTGTACAACTTCAATTATAGGTTTTCTATTTATGGCAGACCCCAAGTTCTAAATGTGTTCCATATATTATAATATGTATATTATTATGTCATAATGATAAATGAAAAACTTTAAAAATGGAATTTCATAATGCATAATTTGCATATTTTCCCAAGTTTGAAAAATGTACCTATATGTTTCTTAATTTAAAAAAACTGGGATGCACGTAATCTAATGTGGGTTCTCAGAAGAACTGAAAAATATTTAATATTTAAGGATTTAATTTGAATAAAACGAAGAAAAAATATTTTACATTAGCTTTGTTGTTGTCGACTATCTGGTTATCTAGTATAGCACGCATAGCACGTATATATTAATTTTTTTTTTGTACATAAATACATTATTTGCATTCGTAACAATAAACTGTCTAATATAATTAATATACCGATCTATTGTTTACAAACGATTGAAGCATAATCATCATATTATGACAATTATAGGTACACGTTAATAATGAATAAACAAAACCATAAGTTACAAAGGGCCAAAATTACATTAGTAGCAAAAGCCAAAAACCCAGTCAGTTAATATTTCAAACTAAATATGATTAAAGAACTGAAGAGAGTGGGCTGTGGACAAAACTGGGAGGCTAAGCTCCCTACAAGTCCCCTCTTATATTGCTCTTATGACTGTACTATAAATCTGTGGTCTAAGCGATGACCACTTTGGGTGTTATAAAACCTATATAGGTTAATGTCGTTGACTCTAAAAAGTCATCATTCTATGTGACTCGGACTCGGAATGTGTACTACGAAATATGTTCTTAAAAATAAATGAGCCAAAAGTGTTCGGACAATTATAATATAGTTGTAAGAATCATGTTTTTTTTAGAAAAATAGTATGATTTTTGTTTTAAATTAATATGACAAAAGTGATGGAGTAAATAAAAAATTAATGCTAATTGTCTACCTCATCATTCGATGTCTTGAAACGACACTCGTCCGCCCTGTCTGTCGAACACTCTTTGACCGTCAGCAAGTTGAGCATTCCTAGAGCTGCAATCCGGGATACAGCTATCCCTAAATACCACACAGTATTCAACAGTGACATGTACGTACCACCGATCCGAGGGTCACTGATTCGTAAAAAGAACGACCTGACACTTAGGTAAACGACAACCATCAACACCTGCGGACGCCGACGATATTATCGAAGATTATTGATAACTCACTATTATTTAATAGTCTATAGTATTTACCAGTCTCAAAATACGATGGAGTTCGTAAATCAGGAAAAAGTAAGCTGACCAGTTATGGTATTCGCCACCTATGAAATACGGAGTATAGTATACAAGGACTCCGGATGAAATTCCCAACATCAACCTACAAAAAAAAAAGAAACCAACAATAATATGTATACAGAGGGTAAGATAATAATAATGTGATATAACGGATGTACGCAATTACTGCGGATGGGTACTTCAATGTACAGGCCGACTAAGGTCGTCTATAGAACGATTTTATAGTTTTAATTTATTATTATAGAAAACTACTATAATATTGTATGAGTGAATGTTTGACTGTTAAACTGTTCACACAGTACGTAGGTTTTGGGTGTTTTTTTAGCAGTCGCAGACGAATTTGTAAATGCGTTTGGTATGAAGTAGAAGAAGATAGACTATATTTTATTTTGCATTTTTTTTCGAATTTTTAGTTAAATGAATTTATATGTTTTTTAACAAATCATTTTGATATGTTTACAAATTTGAGTACTATACATGAGCATTTTAAAATGGTGTGTTCTTTGATAGTACAATGGTCGACCTGTAATTATTTTTTGACAATTTTTGCATGCATTTTTTAAAATTTTTAGTCGTATACATAATCCTTTATACACAGAAATCCTAGTTATTAGGTTGTCAAAAATATTAGGAATGTTTTTTTTGCAAGCGAAACATTTATAATAAACTCAAATACTCAATTAAAATATGAAATAGGTGAATATAGCCGTATTTACTGGGTGATTCACTAAGCATGCTCACCCTTATTTTTATTTAACAATGTATTTTCTCAAATTCTGACTTTTTAATTTTTTTTTTTAAATATACTTAAAGACCATATTTCCAAATATTCGCAATTTTTTGTATCACTCAAGGAGCGTCCTTTGGCAATGCAAAAGTCTGTTTTTCAAATGAAAACTACCCTTTTTACTGTAAATTATTTAGTAGAGATACAAGTATTCAAAAAATATTTAGTAAAATTTAAAATTTAAACTTAAACGAAGGTTAAACGAATTAAAATGACAAAAGTCAAAGTATGTTTTTAGCAAGAAAATAAACTTTAAAACGATATGGTTTTTAAGTAGAGATTATTATCTAAGAACTATTATCAAATAAATACCGGTATGGCACCGTCTTGTGCAGTATTTTCAACGGTCTCGGCCCAGATGTATACTTGGAAATAAGAATAGGAATACAAATCTTTATCGGAATCAATGATAGGTCAACTAGAGCCATGTCTTCTTTAGCCACGCCATATTCCATAAATTTTGGGTTGGACACAAATGATCCCATAGACGAAAATGACATCTAAAATGATAATATTTTAACCATAAAAAACAAATTGGTTTCGTTAATATTTTGTGAAAATACAAATTAACAGTCACCGAATTACTAAGTACGATGTTATTATGTTACATTTTCATACTGTAAAAAAATATATCATTAAAAAATAATAATATATTACTTCATATGCTAGCATAACTAGGGTAAATATTCTCATCGTCCGAAGGTTTATGATCTTCCACAGCGATTTATAAATTTGCTTAATATTGATTTGGCTGATTTTCTCAGCTTGGTCGTATTTGTCTTTAACGAAAAACGCGATAGATGTGGAAGCCACCGTGAATAGTATTCCCCAGAAGTATAAATATCCTGTAAACAGTTAATTGTGCAGTGGTTTCATTGGCATTCGACAGCAACAAGTTTGGGCACATAATGACATTTTTTGCCTGAGAAAAATTGGGACGTTATAGTGGGTACACACGTCTAGGTTCACATTTTTTTCAGACGCCAAAAATGAATACAACGTTTGGGTACATTATATTTTTAAAAAAACACTACGTTAGGGAAAAACTTTTTTAACTTTTTTTTTACTATTTTAATTTTTAGAGCCTATATATTAGGATTTTCCACGAGACATCCCTGAGGGGTTGGCTCTTAACAGTTAATTATTTCTCAAAAACTTTTTTACAATTCAACGTAATTTAAAAATATGTTGGTCATTATATTGTATTACATTAAATTTATAAAGAATCAAAAACATTTATTTTTGTCTAGCTTTTTTTTGAAAGTCAAATACAGTAGGTACGTGTCCACATATTTATGTAATCATTAATTGTATTGCACCCAAATGTTCACTGATTTTCTAGGTTAAATTATGGTCGTGTAATATGTACCAAAATACATTTCCTTCTACTTATTCACTGACCAAATTTTTGGTTTTTTGTACCTAAACGTGTTGGATTTTGGGTAAAATGTGTCCAAACCTCTACTGGCCGATTTATTAATAAGTAGTCAAAATTCAGCCAATTTCTATACACATGGCACAGTGACTATAAACATAAGAGCAAAATCACCTATAAAACAATTTTCGGACCAGATCTTAAGTACACTTTTTTATGGAATAAATTGGTTTTTCCATTCTAAAAACCATTAACTATTGTTTCTTACCGAAGATCGGCATATGCGTGCCATAAACGATAAATAGTTATTATAGTATTATGATATAAAATACGATTTTAATATAATAATTGCATTTAACTTATAAAACGTATCACGTAAGAACGGGTTACCTTCCATCGTAATTATGCCTCCTTTTTGGGCTGTAAAACGTAGCCATTTGTTGCAAAATTCCTCAGACTCAAACAATATGAACATTACGTACCCGAACGCTATTCCCAATGCTTGGCCGGACGTATTGCACGTTGATGCGTATCCTAAGTTCTCCCTGCAAGTTCAGAAAAAAAAACTATGCAATATTCAAACCAAAAGCGCTGTATAATGTCGTTCGGTTCAAATTATTCGGCCAGGGGAGGTCCAAAATGCTGTATAGTTAATCGATAAAAACATATCTATACAATGTCACAATATGGGGGGGGGGGGTGTAAACCAAGCAGGTGCCGATCTCCGTCGCATGTCCACCTATGATGATGGCTACTCCATTATGTTATTGAAGCAAACAGACACACATAAGTGGACAACGTGAGCGTGTCCAGCGTGTGGGTCGTTATACAAATACATATTATCATTTGTGATAAATGATAATATTTCATACGTGTACCTTCTCAGTAAAGTGAGCGTCCACCCATCGATGGCGATGTCATTAGTCGCGGCCAAAGCGTTCACCCAAGAGAACACGTACGTCAACGTAGTCATATGCGCATCGTCGTTTTCCGTCAACCATACGTTTATGTTGGATGCTATGAATATCAGCGACAGTCCTGCGTACAAGATTCGCATATTTTAGACAAATTACAATTATTCAGAAACTTTGACTCGGGATACTGTCTTGCAGCTGTGTAGGCATGTACAGGTGGTTTCAACTCGGGTACCTATAGAAAACTGCACCGGGACCAGCCACGACTTCCGTTTGCCCACACGTCGTGAGTAGACGACGTCCACCAAAGGCGCCCACAATAGCTTCAAACTGTACGGTAAGTCGACCACACTGAACTTTGCCTGTATCGAGAATAAAAATCGGATCTGTATTATAGAATGAACGTCATTTTTAGAGACTATTTTAGTTTATTCGCAATAGTCCCGCTTGTACAGATAACAGCAGACGGTTGTAGTCGCCGTGAAAACCTAAAACGTTTACAATTTTACATCATCGCAAACAGCAACATTTTAACTGCAGTCTGCAATTTATTGTGTCTGCTAATGGATTAGTCATAAATCTTGATATTATACCGCTATAAACGATAGTAACACCACAAAAAAAAAAGGGTAATAGTCCGAAATTCTGACTATAGAGTCCAAACTTGGGCTTTCACGGTGTTGGTAACTTTTACCACAATATAAATACAATTAAATGCTCATACCTGTTGAACGTACGAGATTTTCCTGTTCTGCATGTACGTCCTAATGGCCAAGGAAATTCCTATCGGTATACCTTGCAACGTGTATAGCAGTACAAGCAAGGCCACATTGAGCCTGTCGCCCTTTAGGTTGGGTTTGATGTCTTTTTGCACTTCGGACGATGTTTTATCGTCGCCGTTCCGCCGCTCCACTACGTTGACAACGGGTTCTACCATGTCTTCTCTCGTGTTTTCCGTAATCTGTTTCGCGACGACGTCTGCGCCTCGGTAGGCAGACTCTAAGTCGACCAGTCCCATGGCCATCGATCGTTTTTAAATTGGTATTAATAATGACCAATATTTTGATAGTTGATAGAAAACCATATACATAGATAACCTGTTTCAATGTATATTATTTATATATTTTTTTTAAATTAAAGAACGACTGGTGGAAGACATAAGCGCCAAAATAAGATAAGAAAAAAAAAGTCGTATCGTACAAAAGCGCCAGAAATTAAATAACAAATATTAAATTTAGAACTATTGATTAGAAAAATAAATAAATTATTGAAAAGTGGGATTAAAAAAAATCAACCAATTTATTAAATGTATTAAATATTGATGTGCATGTATATTATAATTTATCATCTACATTTTATTTTTATAAAAAATCAACCAATTTATTAAATGTATTAAATGTGCATGTGCATGTACCTACCTATATTATAATTTACTATCAACATAATAATATTAATATAATATCATTTTTATAAGATATAGACATTTTTAAATAACTACCTGCTTAATACTTATATAAAATATTAATTTTGGCGCATATGATAGGTCATTTTTGTACCTTTGGCGATTATGTCATACAGCCAGAACGACTATAATAATAATAATCAGGTCTCGTAAATCCACGCACAAAGAAATGCTCGGACATGACGGTATGCAACTATGCTGCTAAAACGCTCAAATATGCACTTAAATATATGCAGTAAAAACCCTTTGATTGTGTGATAAAAACTCCTAAATAATTAATAAATACATTTTTTAAATTTATAAACAGAATTCAACCGCATCATAATATTTTTCTTTTCAAACTATCATTTTATTGTTCATTTGTTTGTTCACATTCGTTTTCATTAGACTTAATGAAGCGAATATTATTTTTTAATCATTTAAGTGTTTGCGTTTTGTCGAATTGACTATGTATTAAATATTAAATGTTCTTTAATGTAAAAATGCACTATTCTTAGGTAATAAGCCAGATAAGCCAAAAACATATAAATATGCAATCATATGAAAAATTAAATTTCATATGTTGTATCTTGTCACCTTGCAGCAATAAATTCCTATATACTACCCGATAGCATTCAACACAACTTGACAAGATTGATAATATGCAAATGCATAAACTTACGAGCCCTCATAATAATACTTGTCGTTGACGTGTATATTCTGTTATTTTGGCATAATATATGGTGTATATGTCATAATATTTTTTTACGGCTTTATAACGTCAAGAGACGTAACACATAATATTATGGATTTTTATTTTTTATTTATATTTATTGTTAATCAACGTTCAGCCATGTATCTTATCCGTCGAGAATCGATTCACCACTCAGTGTCTGCACTAAGCTCTTCGTCAAACTCTAGTGCACACGAAACGCTTCGTATTACACACGATACCTACTGTACACAATATTAAATAAAAGTGTAATTAATTATTTAAACAGATTGTTCAAACAGAACATGAGCCGTATTATTCAATATGTGTGCGTATATCGAGTGCCGCACTGCCGCTAACAGAAGTCCGTACGGTTATCATTCACAATTGAAATCCAACACACAGACCAATCACCTACCCGGTCGTCTTTTTTTACGAGTTTTAATAACGGTCGATCGATATCGTAGGGGTTTTTTTATTTCCAAGGGAAACGGAGAAGATTTGATTTAAGATTTTTTTATAAAAGTTTTTTTTCCAAAACAGTATTTAAGATAGCCAAAACGCTCAGTAAATTTTATATTGGCACCAAACGCGTCTCTAGTTTGAAATTAGAAAAAGTTACACGTTTTTAAAAGAGAATGATTTATAAAAATTCTCAATAGTCCTCGTCAAAATCACTGAAAATGATAAATTTGTTGATCAAGCAAAGTTGTGAAATCGTTTAATTTGTTTAAAGTACAAAAAAATCATAGAAATATATTGTTCGGAAACATTGTATTTTATAAATTAGGTTTACCAAAATTAGAACATAAAGACAACTCGAAATACCACAAAAAAAAAAAAAAAATATTCAACTGCATACAGCGTGCTAAACCAACGCACTAAACTTATTATTCTTAGTGACACGGTTAAATAAATAATATTTTTATCAGTATCATTATAATATTCTGCCTTTAACAATGCGATCAAAGATTTACTAATTACTAGTGGCTTTTGTTTTATATTGTAAATTATAATCATCTATACTATTATTTTTCATCGTGGATAAACAATTTTCAATACATAAACAATTATATGAATAGTCCTCAAATTTAACATTGCGATTGAATTCCTTTTGTTTTTAGTTTATACAATACACACAAAGACAAAGTGGTACAATCTAAGAACAATGGATGTATATTTTAATATTATATATATTATAATAACATTTTGCAGGATTTGAACAATTTCAAGAAAAAAGCAACTCGCTAAATCACGTTGATGAAAGTTTGTTTTTAATTAGTTATTTACTTATTGTTACATGGAAAAAAATACTTTTAATGATAAGTAATTATTATATCTAGAGCAAAATACCTTTATTTCAATTTTGTTTTAGACGTTTCCAAGGATTTACCATTGTTGAATGGTATTTTTAAAGTTGAATAGTATTGTTGAATATTGAAGTTTTCTTATCAAATGTTTAATAAGAAATGTTTAATTTTTCGAATGTATTTCGTATGAAAATAAAAATATCTGTATGAAATATGTACATATATGTCAATATATATTAATTCAGAGTTAGAGGTACATAGTTTGACGAGTGATAACCTGAATCTTTTATTCTGTACATAATATTATTAACAATTATAAGTTTATTTTTAATGAAAATTTAGAACAAATATAATATTATGAATGTAATGACAGAATACCGTATTTATTGATTATTTTATTTTATGTAAAATATCCATAATATATTATAAAATATAGAGGCAATTTTTTATAACTTGAACAACATATTGATAGGTCTAGTAAAGACAAATTTAAATAGATTAATTGATTTATGTGCAACAATTTATTTGAGTACTCGATGTAGTATTTTATGTAGTTTTCTTTTTACTAACAAATGGTTACACACGAACCGCTTAAAAAGTTCTATTTTACTGAAACAAATTTAAGTTCTCTAATTCTGCATTGCAATTTTATACATTTTATTCGTGATGTTCCAAACTTTTACGTAGCTGACACTTCACGTATTTGAATATCCAGAATTCCTACCTCGAAGAATGATTTATTCATTCAACGTAGTATTAATATTTAGTGCGTGAAACTTTTTGTCTATGAGAACCCCGCAGTGTGTACGCAAAATGCTTTGACAATTTATCATGGGCTTACCGAAAAAACCCAAAACATAGTTCATGTGTTCATATACTTACATTCTTTTAGTCGATATCTAAAAATGCATTTTGTTAATTGAATTACGATCGATCGAAATCATTTGGTTGTAAATATTATACAACCGTGTACCTCCTTGTAATTTACCATTTTTTTTCATACTCTTATCGTTCGAAGAAGAAAATAGATAAGGCAAATATTAAATATCAAAATTAGTCATTATGTGATAGTAATAATGATAACATAAAATAAAATAAAATATTAAAGATTAACTTGCGAAGATAATAAGATCACTACTATTGACAATTGAATGTACAATAGAAAAAAATATTCATTGATATGATAATTCGTATGATTTTTACACACCAGAGTTGGATACCATACAATTTATGTCGAATCGCTTTGGACGTGTTAGATTAGCTATTGTCATGAAATACAAAATTGAAGTAATCAATTTTAATCGTTTAAATGTATTTAAATAACTGTTAGACACTAAAAGCAAACAACTATAGATAACTAATCACATTAGATAATTTACATAATTAAATCTTCATGGAAAGTCATTTGGGAATATAATCCAAAAGCGAGTATATAATATTGTTGTAATTTTGTTTTCAAGGCTTACGTCCGCAAATGAGAACAAAAAACTAGTGAATTATTTAGTTAATTTATTATTAAATCGAAGAAAACTATATTGTATACTTAAAAGTAAATTCTCGAATCAAGTTCAAGTCTTAGTATTTTATACATTTTCTCCGAATAGAGTCATTAATATATTTTTGGAAAATTAAAATACACTCGTTCATTGTCTCTGGCAGTTGAAAGTTTAACGACTGACCTTAGCACAATACAAAATTGATATGTATAGGAACAAACGCTATTCAAAATATAAGAGACGTGTTAAACGGTCTTGGGTTTTCGTTTTGGACAGAAAAGTGATTTGCGGACGATACGCATGAATACGTTTTTGGCCGGTTACTATGCAAGTGAAGTACGTAAACAATTCGTTTGCCAAGTCCACCCCGATCTTGGTAATGATTTATAAGTTATAACAAAACACAAAATGTCTTGGCAAGTTGAAAACAACAAGAGCGTTTATTTTGTGTCAATATGGGTGGAACCATACTAGAAACTATAAACATATATTGTATCAACCATACAAAACGTTGTGTCAAATAATGACACTTTTTAACGATTATGTACAAAACATTTTCGAAGATAATTTGATGTGAAAGGTATGTTAAATGGTATGTAAAAACACACAAAAAAGTCCTAAAATAAAATGCTAAAATGCCCTGAAAAACACCCAAAAATGACCATAAAATCTACTTAAATAAGTGAAAAAATGTTATTTAAAAATAAAAATATTTATTAGAGATTTGGGTGTGATAATGGGTGCCAGAGTTATTTAAAATATGAATCATTATATTAATAGACAATTTAATCTTGTTTATCGGTTTTATTCCATACATTTAAAAAATTTAATACTCGATCAGCGTAACGTTCGATAAGCGTCGAATGATCGGCGTATGTCTGAAAGAGCCTTGTTTTATAAATGCATAACACTCAAGGTAAATCTTATTGGTACGCGATAAATTTAATCACAATATAATAATAATTAAATCATTTTTTTTGAATACTATACAATTTTTTTTTAAATCTAAAATTTGAGAAAAATGCCTCCCCCTTCTCCCATTGCATAAAAGCGACAAAAAATGCAAAAAAAATGCAAAATAAAATTAGAATATTCTGAATCAACGGAGCATGAAACAAATTTTAGCTAAGATAGCATTGTACAGAATCAAAGAAAAAAACGTGAACGTCATCAACATCCCAACTCTAAATTTAATATTTATTAGGTACCAACCCTATAGCTTCTTCTATAGTTTCTTTAATTTGATAATTATAATTTATTCTATTTACCAATACAATTTATATTTTATTCGTAATAATTTGAAATAAAAATTTGCCTTTTAATTGAAAATCAGTTTCTTAATAGGTTAGGAAAAGTGCAGACGAAGATCGTTCTGTGTGTGCACTATTCAACTAAATATTGTGTTATTTGTTGTTAAATAAGAAATATTTTTATTAAATTAATAATATAATGATAACAAACATTTACCTGGACAAAGTGATATGAGCTGTATGGATTTAAGGGTTTTTTTTTTGACCAGCAGTTAATAATTCATATCTACATATTGTTAAGTTTTGTGATTTATGAATATTATACGATTTTGTTAACCAAAAAAAAATACAATGAGCGTTATGATAATACTTATTTTATCATCGCGGTTATAAAACTGGTATATAATATTATATTAAACAACATAAAAGAAAACTGAAAAAGATTAAAACATTTTTTTACCATTGATTGGCTATTGTGCAACGAACATTAACGATATTTCAATATTTGATGCCAACTGGAAAGCAACGGAAATTAACATAATATTTCTATTTGATGCTTCAAGCTATAATACAAATTTAAAATGTTATCAGCTACAACAGTATATAAAACGTACACATTAAAAATTAATGTTTGTTTTGTATTTTAGAATACTAGTTATGGATTGGAGTAGGAATGTAGGATTATTAAATTATTGAGTAAGTCATTATTATTATTATCTTTAATTAGTATGACTAATATCTATTTAAAAAACTGTATATTTATATATAATAATTGTGATTTGTGTAATTAAAGTAGAAAAAACCCAATAGCAATTATTCCGATGTAGAATTATAATAAGTTTGTAAAAAATGAGTTGGCATCAAACTATATATAATATCTAGTGTTATAATTATTAATTCGTATATCGCATGATTTAAAAAGCGACAATGTGATTATTGTGATTCATCATAGCATTATTCGAGAATGTATACGCATCTGAAACAATATATTATGATTGAGACATGATGACCAGTAAACTATAAATAGGTTATTGAATAGGTGTTAGGTAGGCTATAGTTTGAATGGCGTATAGACTTTTGTATATGAGATCAGAAATAATCATAAGTCTGTGCGAATGCAAAAGTAAACATATAGATTAAATTAGACAAATTAGTCGATGAATTCCCGAATATGTAATATGCACACGAAAATCTTTAAATTAAAAATAAAATAATTATTATAATGTTTATCTAATATTGTATTAGGACTTATCAGTTTAATTAACTATTATCAAAAAAATAACATTCCTATTTAAAAAAAAAATTCCAGTCAATATGTTTATGTAGGTATAACAATATATATTATGTATTATGTATATAATATATTTAACTGATATATTTTGCCGATGTTGGTACCTACAAGATTATTTATTAATTTCGTCAGGTAAATCATTTAGTTACAATTTTTTTATATTAATATAAATTGGAAGTTAAATTGTGCATCACATCGTATTTTTCCACTTACCTAATTATATGAACCGGGCTTTTTCACCACGGACTTTTTTACTCGGTTTTTTTTTTCTAGGGCTTTTTACCTCGGGCTTTTTGGTAGTATGACGACAACATAGGTAAGTGTAAGTTAATTAGCACATAATTAAATGTATACTACTATTTTATTCAGCTGTGAACATCAAACTATTTGTATTCACAATTAACCTGATTTATTTTACATAATTGTGTTAACGTCATCGGAACATTCGATACCTATATTAAAATCATTGTTTAATTGATTGTTTTTGTATGCTGTAATTTATTGGTTTAATTAGTCAAAACTATTTATAAAACATGATAACTATTTTAATATTACTTTGAATACTTTACGAACACGATAAAAGGGTTAGGGTAGGTTTATTACACATTTTATTTCAAAAATGATTCTGAGCGGGTTTGTACATTTCTTTAAATATTTTTCTGGTGTTATGGTGTTTATTTGCTAAAGAACCTAAATTGATAATATCGACATCTTAAAAATACTATACCAACAATATTACATAAACTTTTTGTGAACTTTTAATATCTAGTATTAGTGTTTACAGAGAAATATGACGGACAATTTATTTACAAACAAAAAGTTGTGAAGTAAATATTTGTTAGTAATTTTGCTCAGAATTTAAAAAAAATGACATACGATTCAAGAAATTCACAGCTTTGATTGTTTTTTTTAGTATTTTATTTCCTTGGAAAATAACTAAATTTTGGATTTTTCGAAAAACCCTGCATACTTATTCTAAGTGTCAGAATATCTAATATTTGTCTCCTACACAAAATAAATATATACAAACTATTGTGAAAACTGTAATTTTACTCGTAGCATTCAGAATATTGTTAATGCATTTATATGTTACAATAAATTATTCTTTATTCTATTTTTTTTTTTTTATCATAAATATGTATTCCTAGATTTAATATTTGTGAGTGTTTGTAAACGAAGAAAATATGGAAACAAAATATATGGAAAAAGTGGAATGAAATAAAAACGAAAACATAATTTGCTTTTTACCACAGCATGTATTTTGTGTATACCATCATGAGTCATAAGCATAACGTTTTACATTGCTACGAAGAAAAACTTATTTATGTGGATACAAATTGTAAATGGAATATGTTATTTACTTCTGGATCTTTAGGCACGTATAAAATATGACTTAACTTACCTTTGTCGGTTACATTCAAATACACATCATGACATTCGCAAATCGAGCGTGTATTCTGCGCTTTAGTCGTGCGTGAAGAATATCATTAGAAATGCCTCATACCAATTCAGTATGTTAAGTCGTTTTTAGCGACTTGCCGGAGACAAAGGCCATTTGAATAGAGTGTGCTGCAATAGTAAACAGACTATTGTTGCTTTATTTTAGATTATAATAGTACAATTATTTTCGTATAATTAAAATGTTTAACGATAATGATAAAAATTAGAACAATTATTTAAGTTTTGTGTTAAGAATATTGATCAATCAGTAAAGTGTATCGTATAATATAAACATAATAATGTTATTGACATCGTAATGATATCATAGTGTAATCAACGCGTAACACCGGAAGTAGTCCCCGGCGGAGGGAATTGCAAAAACATTGTCAATGTCGACACCGGTCGTCGTCGGGTCAGTTGAACTGAGCCCCACTTAGCAATCACCGACATGAAACAACAAGACCAAGATTGTTAGGTGCATTATATATCTGTGTACGCGTCTGTGTAGTCGGGAGGTCAGTAAAATATTTACTCGTCCAAAACGGTATCGGGCCGGGGCACAGGGAGGCGGGTACGCACAGTGCATTTCCTGTACACGCGTACACGGGTGGGCAGGTACGACTAACTAACGAGAACGGTCCTGCAAAGTTGTCGGTGGCTGTTCAATGGACAAACTACTGAATAACACACGTCATCTATGTATATCGCGCAGAACATCATATTGTATTATTATGATTAAGCAGACACTCGAGAAACGGTCGTGTCAGACTCGAATGGTTGTCAAACGAAAATCCGGTGGTCCGGGGGACTAAATCGGTGCGGACGTGTTGATTGCAATGTGTAATTTATTTTTAGAGCCGTCGTATATAATAAATGGGTCGTCACGTAATATTCTTACATGACGTGTAATGATGATAATAATAATAATAATAATAATAATAATAATAATAATAATAATAATAATAATAATAATAATTATTATTATTATTATGTTCATAAATGCGTACACCTACAGTGTACGTTATAATATTATGATTATAAAATATAAATAGAAACAAATCGATATCACAATAAGTACTTATAAGTAAGAATCATTATTTAAAAAAAATTGTTTTAATTGACAGATAAATAGTGGTCAAAATGCTGATGGTAATATACATATATGCAGTGTACATACATAACACACGTTGTTATATTATATTACATACATACAAATATATATATTATTGTATAATCGAATAGTGCAGCTTTCAAGGATCACTTAACGTTTATAGCTTAGATTTACACACATATACGTCTACGTAGAAAGTACAAGAGTAGCATTATAAAAAAATAAGTTTATTTTTATATTAATATTCTATATAAATTCATGCCAGGCGTAGCATTGAGAAATTCGCCGTAAATGTGAAATATATGGGATATTGTAAGGAACAGAAGGAACGTTCACGAAAAGTTTTTCTTCCCATTGATTTTTTCCGCGATACCACCCGCATATGTCTGCTCGACCGGAATTATATCCTAAAAAACTTCCTCGGATAAACCAAACGGAGTTTTGAGGATATTCGTTTTTGTAGGACTCGTCGACAAACGTGTGAGACACAAAATATACATCGGTGGGAGAAAACGGTTTTCGTATTGTATTATATATAGGTGGTGTGTACGCCCCGTGTTAGATATTATAAAAATGCACCTACAATATTATCGAAATAAAACTATTTTTGAGAATATAATAATACATAAAGTAAAAAAAAAAAAAACAGTTTTTTTGTCAAACAACATCGGTTATTACTCTATTATATTATAATACAATTATAATAGTACTCTGTCGGTCGTCTGTGTTTTTTAACAGCGGCGGCGTAGCAAACGGTTCCCGCAGCTACGCGATAATAACATGTCCGTTATCACAAGCAGCAAATACTATGAAAACTAAAAGTACCTATACCGCAGGACGTTTGGCTCGACGCTTAAAAAACGTAAACATAGCATCTATCGAAATAATGTTTTAGTACGATTTTAAAGTGGTTGCCAGCAGTTGTCTGACACACACAGCCGGCGGTGCTTATGCGGTGTAACGTGTTTTTAGTTTTCGTAATTTTTCTATTTGCATGTGCAATATAATAAAAATATACCTCATACACTGAATTTATTAGATAAAACAATGCACGTTATGCGTATACCTACATAAAATATGACATTGGTCGGAGGCGGCAGAAATATGTCTGTAACGTTGCAGAAAAAAAAATCCGCTTACCTACCCTCTCTAATCGTCTAATACGGGTAGGTACATTCTATAACATTATGATATTATATTGACATGACATATTATACTATGTTTCGCAGGTATACTAATTGTACGTCATACCGTCGTCCTATAGTTGTACGGATAAAAATAAATAATTCGTCTAATTATGAAAAAAAACCAATCTTCGCAGTTTCAAATAGTAAATATAGTAAGTTCATTTTTTGTACAAGCGTTAGAAAAAATAAATGTCATCTATATAATAATATATTATGTACTATATTAAAATATTACGCGTTTTCGTATGAATCGCGATCGTACAAAACTCGCAGTGCTATATATTATCATGCTACCAGTATAAGGTATGCTAGGAAATAAATGTCTAATAATGCACCGACCTTATAATAATACGACGAGTGTTCACGAACGAGATCGTGAGGGAGGACGAAACGTTGGTAAAAAAAAAAAACGGAGAAAAAAATATTTTCGCGGGCTTGTCGCGAGAGTAATGGAATCGTTGTACAGTCAGACGGCGACTGTGACGACACGTGTCTTAACTATTTTGGTACACTAGATCAAAAACGGAGAGGAAAGAAATATAGAAAATTCAAGTCAAAACCCTAGCGTTGCAGTTTTGGGCGTTTGAATGCATGATACGTGTCCCGAATACATAAAAAAAAAAAAAACTTTTCGAGTCGGTTTATGATTACCGTACGTATACCTATTATATAATGTTATAATATATACCGTATGGGGAAACCTTTAAAATATTTTCCGACAAACGTGTACTAAATATTTTTTTAGAATTTTCGCTTAAATTTTTCGTGCTCATTTTAGTGAACACGAGGGCCCGTGTATACCGACCGTCACGGAGTGCAGAGATACAGAGACCCCTGCGCGTGCTAAACATTATTAAGTACAATAATTGTAATCTAGAAATCCAATGACATTATAGGTCCTTGTGACGTAACAAAATGAAGTCAAAAAACAAATAAATACTACCGAATACAAATAACGGTATAATACAATACTACCTGATTATATTTTAATAGTTTTGCAGAGAAGTGGGTAGGTGTTTTGTTGTTTGGTTTAGGTACGTACCTACTATCTAAAGTTTCTAAATCATCACCATAACAATTTAATTTCGAAAACTTCTATACGGTTTTACGGGGGTTAAACCCATTAATCCCATATGAAATTCAGCCTCGCATTTTAAAAGTATTCGTGAAACCATAGAACCACAAAAGGTTCAATGCAGAACATAATATACTCGAACATTCCAAAAATACCAGACGTAAAATTAATAAACACATACGCACGACAAAAGGTTTTGTTACCAGCTTCTAAATTTTAAAATTAATGTTTTCAACGACTCGGATAAACCGCGTACGGTTTACCTGTACATCTGAAACAGAAATATACGCGGAACGCTTTTAGGTGAGTGTAGTACATAATTTTTAATTTCTATATTTTAATACCATTTAATAGTATTTATATTGTATTATTTTTAAAATGCTGAGGTGTACGTATTGTATGGTATTTTTTAATTGCACAAATTGTTTATACCTCTACCAGCACTGTCAGAAAACGTTTGAAAAGTAATAATAGCTAAATTATAATAAAAATAGCACATACAATATATTTAAAATGAACTGTGACTTTTTGGAATTTTAGAATACGAATAATAAAATGAAAAAAAAAAATGTTCAAGTTGTATTTCTGAGAAAAAATTTGTGCCATTGTACATATTTCATTCTCGTTCATTATAAATATCAATGATTCACAAAGTATTCGCCACGTTCGATTGGTATAAATTTAGTATAAAGTCGTGTGAAGAATATATTATATTTTATAGAAAACCCCGTATTGAATGTGTTTATATACATACCAGACATACCTACGTTATTTTTTAAATTTTTGTATTAATATAAGATAAAATTTTAGAACGAAATTTTAATATTATTTTCGTGGTATATGATTACCAATCAATTAAAATTGAGAGCACAGGTTATTTTAATTTTCAATCAATACAAAATTGTTTTCAAAAATGTTTTTAAAAAAGGTGGAAATAAATGGTTTATGGATGGATTTGTGTTTTCACTGCCTGTGCAATGTATGGACATTGTGATAAGTTAAATGATCCATCATGTATCTTTTATTTTATCTTCCCCTGAATCGATATGACTAGAATGTAGAATTTTAAAATAATAAATCACATAATTGCCTTGTACGCACGTCATTTAACAATATAAATATCACGTGTTTCACAGTAAATTAATTAAATACAGATGTTCCGAAGAAACGTGAATATAAATTATGAATTATGAATAAAAAGCTAAAAAAAATTAAAAACCCACACAAACTGCAAATGAAAGGATATAAAAACTGACCGGAACTTTCCAATACATAATACATTCAAATCAGAATTTGGGACGAGCACTTATAGATATTAAAAAAAAAAACAAAACAAGAGATGAATTGTTGAATAGGTAGAAAATAAATATTATTATTCAAATGTTTTGAAAATAATCGAATACGTGATGATCTAAAATTTATCGTATAAGTACATGCAATTAAGTGATCTATGCAAAAGTATTTCTAATGTCATAGAATTAACGATGATTTAATCTAGTTAATGGGATATCCAACGTCACTTATCGGAAGTCCAAACGTGAATTGTAAGTTTTAAACAAAAATGTCGATTAAAAATTATGTAGTACTTAGCTATTGCCTTATTCTTATCAACATTTAGTGTTTACCATCCCAAAAACGATACACATTTTTAACCTGAGAATTTACGACTAATAGTATAGAAAAAGTCAATTTAAGACAAAATGTTTAATGACTTTCAAATCAAACTCCAAAATAGAATTAATTCATATCTACTTAAGTAGGTATAATGCAATGTTAAGTTATGCAATGTATAATAATATATTATTCGATTTATATTTTATTGAACAAAATTTCATCGATTCAAAAATGAGAGAAGAGTAACTATAATGTAACTATAAATCGGCGAATGAGTAAATTATAAAATCCAAAATTCATGAAATAAATCTTTTATTTGGTGGGAAAAAAGTCGTTTTGCACTTTTGTTTTTTATTTTTCCCCTGTGAAAAAGGATTAAGATAAAATATTGATATAGATGCCGACTGTCATTTCGACCCCACTATCATCATTATTCATTAGTCATTACTATTGGTCCTAATATTTATAGATTTCATTTATTCAATAGTCAGATTGTTAGTCACTTTGGTGGTACTATATAATTGTGTAATAGAATACATGGTAAATGTAGACGCGCGTAGCAACGTACGAATATAATTTATTATCATTTTGGTATGAAGAGATTTTATAGAAAATACGAGTACGTTAAAATTTATAGTTATTAAAGACATTGTTTACACAACGTAAATATAGTTTAATTGTTTTTCAAATAAAAAATAACTTCGTGCGATCAATGACAATTTTCTATGACATAAAATATATATTGTTGAACGATTGTCTTTCGAGCCATATAATGATAGTAAAATTGGGACCATGAAACAATTAGAAGACTTAACGTGTTAAAGGCTTATCAATTTAAACATTTTAAAGCACAATGATAAATATTTACAACGATTTTAGCGATGCGTATTATACTATATTGAAGTTTTAAAAATAATTTGTATTTTGAAAGAAGTAGTCTTGATTGTGTTTACCTTATTATTCAGTAGGAGCTGAATAACAGCATTGGTGTTGTCTACATTTTTGGTGTATTCAGGCATGGTAGAAAAACAATACAATTATAGGTACTTATCCGAGGACTAGGAGGAACTTATCAGTGTAAAATGCCTAAGGATGCGTAAACTAGTCTGTTCCGAATTAGTGTAATTTCAAAAAACAATATTATAATAAAGGGGTTTTCAGTTTGAATATCTTACATTAAATTCAAAAATGTGTTACACATTTTTTTTCTGCTCCACGATATTTTCATGATTTATTTTCAATATTTAAATGCTACGTTGGTATATTATACTATGTTATATATCATTAATTATTATTATACCTAAGGGGCATATTTCGACCTGCGTAGCACATGCATAATAATTTACGTAATATTCATGTGAATATATTAAAATATTATGCGTGACGAAAGTCGTCGGGTTTTTGCGATAAGTATTATTATAATAATATACATATATACAGCAGCGTAGTGTCAAAAAAAAAAAAAAATTTAAAAATATTCGTTGAACTATTTTCTTTTTTAGTCGTTCGAAATACGAGGTAATTGTAGGTATATTTTGTCGGTTGAAGGCTGACGGACAAGAAAGTTTTAGGGTAGCTCCTCTCCTGTTTCCCACTCTTCTCTCTTGTATCGCCCACCCTCTATCTCGCTCTTTCACCCACCCTCTCTATTTCTCCACCGCAAACTCATTCTATTCACCACAGAGTGAAATCGAATGCGCCTAGTCGACAAACGCCTAAAACGAAGTGAAACGTAAACGCAATATTATCATGCAGGGGCGTGAAACCTACCTAATAATAATGTTATCAAAACGATAGAGTTAAAATCAAATACGAGCTGGTATTATACTACATATATCAGCGTTTCTCAAACCTGCACGGGTCACGAATCGCGGTTAAGATAACTGTTATTTTTACCCGTAAATTGATACCACTATATATTTAATAATAATGCGAAGTCTAACTGGTATCGTTGAATGTATGACGTATTTTTAGTAATCTTTATAATATTTTATTACGATTACGGAATATTTGTTATCTTATCGGCGAGAATGATACAATTTATCATAGCAAAAATAGTATTAATTCATGGCATACTTGATTTTTTTTTTTTTAGCAGGGGATCGGGTACACAATGAAGATTACATTTATGGGTCGCCATCATTGGAAAAAGTTTGGGAAACACTGATATATGCGATACGATTTTTGGCACTTTCACATGGGGTTGTTGTTGTTGTAGAGGATGACGCTGAAACGTCTCTGGGCCTTTTTGAACACTGTGGTGACCGCGTTGCTGGCCACCGACGTCCACGTGGCCGGGCCACCGCCGCCGTCCGAGTGCCGGTAGTGCGGCACGTGACGGTGGCCGTCGTCGGTCTCGTGGAACGGCAGCCGACCTCATGGGTGGTGGTGGTGGTGCTGCTGCGGCGGCTGCGGCAGCGGGTGGTGATGGTGCAGTTGATGGTGCGGCGGGTGCTGCTGCTGCTGCTGCTGCTGCTGCTGATGGTGGTGTTGGTGGTGCGGGGCCAGCGGGTAGCCGTCCGGGCCGACGACCACGGCGGACTGCAGCTGGAGGGGCGCGCCGTCGTCGTAGAACGCACCGCCGCCGGCACCGACGCCTTGACTGTGCTGGTGGTGCGGCTGATCTTCGCGGTCGTCCACCGGGACGCAGCCGCCGTCGCCGAGGTCCGTCGGGTCCAGGTCGTCCGAGTAGGTGGTGCCCCGGCTCTGCACCAGCGACATGCTCTTCTGGTAGCTGAACAGCTGTCGTTCCAGGCTGTAGTTTTCGGTCTGCAATGCCGTGATCTCGCGCCTAAAAAAAAAAAAAACGGATCGTTAAATTATTATGTCAGATTTAATAAATTCGATACAATATTCAATTACATCGCTATTGTTATGTGTTCACACGAATTATAATGAAAAACGAAATAGAATCAAAAACTGCCACGTTCGAAGCTATATATTATACATCGATAAACCTAAAAGTCCAGATGTACCTATACCAGCGGGTGTTATACGGATGAGAAACATAACGACTTTTCAGAAAAACCGAACGAGTTAAGTGAGAAGTCTTCGAAAAGCAAATTCGGAAATTCTGAGAAAGCCTTTTGGACCATTCGAGGATGATCGAACTAGAGACTGGACAAAATAAATAATCCAGGACCTTTTTCAATTTTTTTAAAATATCACCATGCGTAAAAAATGCTTATAAAAACATTTTGTGGACATTTCAAGTACCTATCTTGAATTACAGTAAAATAAGAACATTTTTTAATGACAAAACGATATTTCATGCGTACATATCCAACTTCATTTAAATTAAAATTTTAGAAGTTCATCAAAAAATATTTGTGGAATTTTTAATTTCAATCGAGAACAACAAAAGAAAAACGGAAATAACAACTTAGGAATATGAAGTATTCAAATTTTCAAAAATTTTGAAATTTTGAAATCTTTAAATTGCTTAACTACAAAATAATTTCCAACTATATTAGATTTGTGTTCAATTATATTTTTAAATCTCAGCAATAACAACTTATGAAGAACCTTTTATACGTTTTTAAGCCATTTGAAGATGAAAATTTTGTTTATGATAATTTATTTATGTATAAGAAAATTGGAAGTCTATAAATAGCCCCAACCCAGTCAAAATTAAACTATTCGTAGAAAATGATAATATAAACATTGCGGTAAAGTATCTACTGATTTAGGTACAGCAAAATAAAAAAATTGTTTGATGAAAAATCGTTATTTTTATATCTCATGTCGTCAACATTTGAAATCTTAACGTTTTTATTGCTCCTAACAGACAAAAAAAAAAACAAAAAAACAAACACATCATTGAAAAAACAATACATTTAACACTCCGTTCAGAATCTTAAAATATATGAACTGTAACACGAATATTTGTATAATAATACGAATTTAATAGTTTAGAAAATTAATGGGTCTGTCTTGTCGTCGCCATGTTCAATCCAAGCACTGCACGCCATTCCACTTTCCTAACCATCACCTGTCGTGATTTTAAATGCCTATGTAATCATACAAAAGCTGCCGTACAGTGCTCAAGCAATTATTATTATTTTTTTTTTAAAACATTGAATACACATCTATTATTATATTTTGTTGTTTTTGTATATTTTTGTCACATATTATGATAAATCAATAGTGTTCGTATGTCTTACAGTAAACTATTTCGGAGCCGCCTAACACCCTAATCTGATGGTTATACAACCGTCCCGAGGAGTGTTGAAAGATACGATATAAATGTTAAAATATCGGAAAAGGGGATGGCTGTACTCAACTGTAACCGACATGAATTTACTAGATCGTAAAAGTAGTAAATATTTTTATTACTTTCGATTTTACACAATAAAAACACTTCTTCAATTCTTCATGGTCGCTATAAAGTTGACTTTTCACCTAATAATTGCGTAACTGTGTGTTACTATTTTAAACTGTTATAACAGCCGGAGATCGTTGGATAAAATGAAAGAAATTTTGGATTTGGAAATCGGAACAGTTGTGATTATTTATAGTGATTATTTCGTTTTAAGACACAGTTTTGGGGCCAATGGATGCGGAACGTTTTTTACAGACTTGAAACGTAATAATACACCGGATACCTATTTCAGGCAATCCAGAATTTATGAAAAACTGTAAAAAAAATAATACATAAAACAGGTATTAGGAGGCACACTCCTAGCTTCACTCACTTTCACTTTCAAGATATAATATGATAGTATAATCACATATTATAAAAAAATGTGTAATCCATAAAATTATCAAAAAAAAAAAACAATCTTGAGTTTAACACTCAAAATAAATATAATATGAATTACGATTACCTGATAAAGTTTAATATATTAATGTTTATATAGGACTAAATTTATGAATTTATGATATTATGTGTAAAAACTTTTTTGAATTTATTGTTAGTTATTTGGTACTTTAAAATACTTTATCAATAACCACAAACATTTGGATAATATTTTAGCAAAATAAGAGCTAATTTAAATTTTAAACACCCCAAAACTGATTTAACTTTCCAAAGAAAAAAAAATATTAAGCAACTATAAAGTTCTATAATGTATTCTGTTTAGTTATTACTTTAAAAAAAATAGTGTGTTAATGTTGTTTTGAACAATTATGGACATTTATTTATATTAAATAAATGTTATTTAATTTTTGGTTTAATGGTTTAAGTTAAATTTTTTTTTGTTTAATGGAATATAATGCTCAGGTTGTATCGCGTATTAATTAGAATCAAATTATTGTTTATTTATTTTACAAATAGGTAATTACGACTGATTATTTAAAATGAATAATTTAGTTCAAAATAATTGAAATTATAAATTAGTATAAGTACTGAATAGGTAATGTACATTCATTAATTTCTTTAAAGTCGAGATCGGCACATTTTTTACTACAGAATAAAAATTATATAATTTTTATATATAATTTTATTAATAAATAATAAACCTATCATTGTGAAAATGAGAGAACAATGAACAAACATTTAATATGAGATTACACCCATTTTATTTATTAATTTTAACTAATCTACCTATGTATATTACAAGTATTACAAATCAAAATAATATAAAGATAATATAAAAACAATTTTTATTAAATTATTTTTATTTTTATATTTTGTTTGTTCTTGTTCATAATATCATATTTTCGAATAAAAATTCTTTATTTTGCAATGTTTGTTTATTTAAAATATACAATGACAGTGGTTTGATAATAAATTATAAAATTCGATAAACTAAAAATCATCTAAATTTGTCAAGTATTACATAATTATTTTAAATTGAAAAAATAATTAGTTTCAGCGGATATGCAAATTTATTATGTGTTAAATAATAAATACACATCGTTATTTCCCGTACACTAAAATACATAGTTAAACCGAAGGTATCAAGTTAATTCATCGCACGTCAACGCATTGCCGCCAGTTCACGTGTGACGTCGATTCATCGTGTTGTTAATATTATATGATGAAATGTTAGGTGAAAAAAAAAACAAACTAATTTTGGTTTACCTAAACACTATATTACAAGTTTGAAGCGATTAATCTTTGGCAATAATGGAACTGCTGACGAAGTTGAAACCTGATTAATCGAAGAACCCTCATAATAATTGAACGAGTATTATTTGATTCGATTTTGCTTGCCACTCATTTCACGTTGTTTAATGAATCTTCACTTTAATTTTGATGCGTTTTAATACTCAGTTGGGGTGAAAAGTGTTGAGTGTATTTATGTATTTTTCGTTGTTCTTTTTTCGCTTATATTTTACATTTCAATGTACAATGCCATACGTTTATATTGATTTTTTGCATATTCAATTGGATTTAAAAATAAAATATTGATTTAAAAACACCGATTTCTTATTAAGTATAATTATTTTACTAATTATATTTTATTCACCCATTTGTATTGTATTGTGTGGTTCGGAAAACGTCTAAATAATTTTGTTTCGAAAATTCTTACCACATTGTTATCGTTTAATATCATAAGATCATTTTATGTATATAATACATTGATTTAGATTTCATATTTTAAAATACTTTACCATTTTTATTATTTGAATATTTGTTGATGCGTAAAAAATGTATGTGCATTTGTATTAAGATGTCATAGCAATGTTAGTTTTCTCTCTCTCTTTAGCCCTCGCACAATTTGAACTGGACGAATTCACGCAAAATCATTAATTTGATGTTTTTAAGTTATTTTTAGAGCAAAATCACCTATTACAAAAACCATGTATACCTTATAGTACCTCTGAACGATTAACATATCAATTCGTCTAAACATTATCTCAAAACTGGTTAACCATTTAAATGTCTAACCTTTAGGTTTTTAAAATTTTTTTTTTATGTTGGTCATAACATAAAAAAAACGGCTTTCCAAGTTACAAAATGTGATGTACCTATATATTTGTATGCATACTATTGAATTATAATATAATACGTTTAATACACCTATTTGTTTTGTACTGGTAAGTACAAAAGCCCTCATGATTTCATTAAATATATTTGTGTGGATATAATGAGTTAATTTACAGGTTAAATACTCGTTCCTAAATGGTTATCAAATAGTAGGCAGTAATAACAAATTAATCTTAATTAGTATTCATTACTAAAATCAATAACCATTTACGATGATAAGCTTAAGTTACTTATGCGTTTGAACAACTACAAGAATATAATACATTGGCAAATAACCGAAATATAAGCTGGATTTGAAATAAAAAATAAAAAATAATAAATTGATTATTTAAATTTAAAATACTGAAAGTATAAAATAAATTACTATCAGATGTATATAGTGTGCATTTATGTTTAACTTATAATTTATATGTAACATTATCGTTATAGATACAATGAATATAACTATAATATATACCTATAAATTATAATAATCATATTAAACATTGTTCAAAATTTATATGTATACTTCAGTTTTATTATTTTTCTCCGGAAATTACCGAAATATGTAGTAATAATTATGGTTAGCAAATGTCGTGAGTACTGGATATTAACGACCAAAAATGAACATTGGGCTACTAGCATTCAGTACATTCAAAGACAATACTTCCGATTAAGTACCTAACTGTGTCGATTACAATTCTATAAAGTTGCACTGAATTATTAAAAACACGAATAGAACCTTAAAAATGTATAAGAAATATCAAGCAGATACTATAACAGTCAACAAAATTTCATAAAACATATTTTTTCAAGTCGTCGGGAATACATCAACAATGGCGACCGACCTTTATGTACCGTTCAGAAATCTTAACAAA